CGATCAAAGAGTTTAAGATTCCGACGCAAGTGTTGTCCTCAACACTACATCCGGACAAAAGTGTGTTTGTCTGCGGAGGAGAGGACTTCAAAATGTATAAATACGACTACAATAACGGCAATGAAATCGGTTTGTAATTGAATTGTTTTGATGTGTGAGTCGTTTCTCACTCTTTCCTTAATATGTGTATTGCTTTTAGAGTCCTTTAAGGGACACTTCGGTGGCGTTCATTGCGTCCGCTTTTCACCCGACGGCGAACTGTACGCCAGTGGCAGCGAAGACGGAACGCTACGGCTATGGCAGACAACTGTCGGCAAAACGTATGGCCTCTGGAAGTGTATTAATACAGAAGAAACCGATTCCAGTGATACACAACTTTCTAATAATGAGAATCACAACAATTCTAATAATAAATAATTTTTGAAATTTTGTTTTTTAATACAATTGTAAAGGTTTTTAAAGCAATTTTTCGTTTAAATTAAATTTTTCATGCAATTTATTTTTATAATAATTATTATTTATATTTATTAATTACATGTTTTGTTACAATGAAATAACTACGGTAAGATGTAATTAGTTGGTGATGGTCAGTAATTAATCTGAACTTAATTAATTTATAAAAGCTGTACAAACAGGTGAGATATATTTGACACCCAATAACTAAATTAAGTTATAATTACGAAGTATAAATAAAATATTGAATATTAATTATGTTAAAATTACTATAAGTGATTGGGGTGATTGTACTCAAAATTATGCTTCACTTAATAAATAAGCAGTACAAATGTGTATTCGACAATTCACTAGTTCATTAATTATAAGTTATAATCTACATAAATATAACAATATTAATACAGTATATTTATTATTATTTATTTGCGTAAATATTGTGTAAAAGTTATAAATATCCCTACTACTATACAATTAAACACCACTTTCAACAGTAGGTGTAGTTTGTATTGATTATTATTATAACTATTATTATTATAACTTATAAATATAAATATTATTATAACTTATTAACGGGGGAGCGGGGGGAGCTGGCTAGTAATTTATGAAAGCATTAAGTAATTCGAGAAAATATGTTTTTAATAATGTGTTAATTAAAGTGAAAATTGCAATTCCAATGAATAACACAACTATTAGCAGATTTATTGGTTGTGTGTCTGTTAAAACTACAATTCAGCATGGTCATTGTAGTTCATATTATTAAACTCCCATATAGTATTATTATATACTCCCAATTATATTAATATAGTTCATATGTTAAGACTACGACCAATGCTTTTAGTATCGGATAATTCACTCGAACTGTTAATTCAATAGTTAATGGCAAGTCTATGAAGAGTTTTATTTATAACAAAATCTCCACACAACAAATTTCAAATACTTTATTTTTTATATTGTTTTATTCAAATTGCAGTTAATTTTGAGTTGCTTGCAAATCTTGTTTTCGTATAATTGTCATTTATATATCTTTATACAGTATTATAATAATTATATCAACTCTACGTCGAGTAAAACATCGTTTTTAATGTTAGTAGAAATGTTTAAAACTTTGCATTTTTGGTTTGAATTGTCAAATTGAAGTAAAGTATTATTTAACTTTAATTAATTTTTTGTTTAAAATTAAAATTAAACTTTAATGTAATATGCTACATTAATTTTATTTATTATGCAACTATTTTATGCTATATTTAGTTATAAAATACAATTTAGTGCTAAGAAGTTTAACTGTAATATTATTATCTATAATTATAATTTATTAGCAATAATATTAATACATTTGACCACTTATATAATATAATATAATCTTAAGATAGATTTATAAAACAAAATACTACTATAAATTACATTATCATTGGTATAATTTATCTAAAATTCAATTTAAAATTTAGAAATAAATATTTATTCTACATAATAGTTGATCACCGAGGTTGTTATAAATTAGTGTGATAGTTGAGCTTAATCTTCTAACTAATCATGAATCATGATGCTAGTTGTGCATTATTAATATTATATATTCTCAGGTTCTATAATTTTTATTAAATTTTAAAATTCCTCAAACAATAAAATATTTAGTGATTTTTAAAAATGAATTGATTTCTAGACAACACTTGTTATTCATTAGGGATGAAGAGTGAAAACAATGACTGACCAAAAGTGAGATCAAAGTTATAGACACTGACATTGAATTCTGATTTCAGACAATGAGTCAATATTTTTGTTGTTATGTATATTGAATACTAATTACAAATATTTAATTAATTCAATATATTAATAATAGACTAGATTTTTGCTGTCATTAGTCATGGATTAACAATTTGTTTTGTTATCCAATGAAACTTAAAAGCTCTTGATAACATTGATTAGTAAAATTATGCATTCTCAATACTATAATTTATATTGTAGACAATTTTAAAAAATAATAATTTAACAATGTCAATTTGCTATAAATAAGAAATACATAGTTTTTAAAAAAGTATTTAAAATATATCCTTCAGTTTGTGACAAATATTAATTAAATCAATAGAAAGTATTTAGAATTTAACCCTAAAATACTGTAGTTATAGACTATAACTAACTATAAGTTATAGTAGATATAGATTTGAGATTTGAACACAATCGAGCAATTCTTACTTTGGCAACTACTCAAACTTGATCATCATATAGTGTTATATTTTAGAAAATGTATATGGTCAACAATTATGGTCAAATTATCAGAAATTGAGGCTATTTTCGAAAATTAATGATGAATAACATTTAAGATTTTTAAAATAAATCATATTCACTATGACTTAACAAACTAATATTTAACGTCATTATAATTACAGTATACAGTAATATGTATTTAAAACAATAAGTTGAATGCATTCTTACAAAGGAAATTATGAATCATATTAATAATTATTTGTTAGAGAGAGAGAGAGAGAGAGAGAGAGAGAGAGAATTCTATAAATAACAGATATTTAATAGTGTAATGAATCAATTCAGATATTATTACTAACCATTGATGAATAGGTCGACAATTATTAATCATTGAATCATTATTTGTCTGTTATTTTGTTGTCTTTGTATGCGTTATATATTCGGGAAAATAGTGTAAATAATACAGTATTATATAAATTATAAATTTTTAATAATATAAAATAAATGATTGCGAATTGACCAAGACTTTATTATTTAGCAATCATTCAGCTATAATTGAATTATGGGCTCATTGGCCGGTCATTTATTACCTGGATCATTTTTCCTATGTTTTGGATTTTGGTGGACATACGCTCTGTTTGAGCGATACTTCAAAGTATTGGTTGACTCGACTCTTAGTAAAACACCGAAACAATTTAATTGTTCGGCCAGTTATTCAAAAATCGAGGGTTTCATTAAGGTTTATGTTTACCATAATTGAATTTTACTGTTTTGCACTTTTTAATTTGGTTTAAACTTATAAATTACTAATAATTTAGTTTGTGTACTGATGAGTTATTGATGTTTACAGTTAACTAGAAACATTTTAATTTTAAGCTGCGGTTTTAAAATATTCTTGTTAATTCTTGAATAATTGTTGATTTGTTTAGTTTATTTAATTAAAACATTTAATAAATTAATTTATATTAATTAGATTATTAGCGCTATAATTGGTATTACCTGTGAATTTGTGACGGCTTTGGATAAGAATTATCGCTTTGTTAATATGGGTCTTGAATTTTAATTAAAATTTTAAAAATATTAAAAGAATGATGTAATTAATAGCGATAATTGAATTTCAGGCAATTCACAGCACATAACAATGTATGTGTTTTTTCTCTTAAATGGTAATAAGTAGTGCTAATTATGCGTTAAACAGTTAAATATTGTTTCTCAACAATTACACGATTGATAAGGTATTGTCGATCTATTGGTTTATTATGGATATCCGCTGCCAAACGGTTCCGATTATATGTCTCTTCTGATGGCAGCGATGGTTGAGGCGCTTCTCTTCACTTTCCATCTTCACGGAAGGTTTGAAAAGGTATTGTCGATCTATTGGTTTATTATGGATATCCGCTGCCAAACGGTTCCGATTATATGTCTCTTCTGATGGCAGCGATGGTTGAGGCGCTTCTCTTCACTTTCCATCTTCACGGAAGGTTTGAATCATTAGTTTTGACTTAAATACTGATTCTAATGACATTGTTTGAAAGGACACCAATTGACGTTCACGTCCACACTCTCCTCATTGTGTCAGTCATTGCATCAGTTGTTTCGGTCGCTATTGAATGCAAATATAGAGATCACATGTTATCCGCATTTTCCCGAGCGTTATGTGCACTCATTCAGGGATTTTGGTTTTGTTCGGTCCGTTATATACTATATATTAATGTTTTTTGCCTTTCAATTTAAATACAGTATCTGTTTCTGTTTTAAATTATACATATTTTCAATTAGTGTGAATATACTGTAGAATTTCTATAATCTTTTTTACGCGTATACAGTATAGATTCTAGATCATAATATTATATTATGTACTGTAGTAAATCTATCAAGGTGCATATTTACATTAATACCTATTAATCACAATGAATTTTCTTAATAGGTTGGGTTTATATTATATCCTCCGTTCTCAAGCGGTCCCCCAGAAGAAAGTCATTCAAAACAAATGCTTTTAACCGTAAGTTTGATTAAATAATAGAGAATATAAATTTTAATATAAAACTAAAAAAATTAAACAATATTTTAGACATTGTTTTGTATGGAAATTATTGCAATAATATTGTTGATGACTTTCATTGGAATTTGTGTTTATTATAAGTATCGGTCAATTCTTATAAACAACAACTTCTATTCAAGTGATCATTTGATTAATACTTATTCACAAATCGATTACAAGA